ATCCCATATGGTTTCCCGAACACCGCCAGGAGTAATTCCTGAGTGCAGAGCCAGGAGTAACCTCTGTGCATCGCTGATGTGAGCCAAAAAGCAAAAAAAAAAAAAAAAAAAAAAAAAAAGAGAGCACCCCCCCAAAAAAACCCCAAAAAACTCAGCTTCCTGCTCTCTGAGATGGGAGGAAAGGGCACATGCCCTGTCAGCTGCTGTGTGGTTAAAGCTGGAGCTGCCTAGAGAGCTGGGAAACCATGGCCCCAGTCAGCCAGCGCCTCACACCAGCCTGTTCGTCAGCCTGCTGCAGTCCTCACCTGTACCAGGTTCAGGAGCCTTTCCGTCCCTCTCTCACACATTTACTCTGTGTCTGTTTCCCATATTGACCCGGCCAGCTGCTTTCCTTGATCTAAATATACTTTCATCTGGAAGCTCTGCTCTTCAATTTGAAACATCTCCAAACTGTTTTCCATTAAGACTGAAGCTGACCTATGTGAGCCAGTGGGTGCCCTCTTGGTCACTTAGAGTAAAGAGGACACGGAAACATTCATTCACAGGGACACAAGCACACCTCCATCCACTGCAGGAAACAACCTACATGCCCAATAAAGGATGAAGGCATAGAGAAGCTGCTGTACAGAGACACCATGCAATGCTGCTGGCTTATGAGAAAAGAGGAAATCTTGTCATTAACTGCAACGTGATTGGAATTGGAGTGTGGTGGGCTAAGTGAAGTGAGTCAGATGGAAAAAGACGAATGCCAGATGATTTTGGTCTCATACAGAGCTTATAGAAGCAAAGGTATTAGGTGATCCCCCAAAACAAGGGTCCCCGAAACAGTCCTACAGGGCAGAGAACTGAGGCTGCAAAGCAGGAAGGGAGAACTGGCCTTGGGTCAGTGGTGGAGAGATACCGACATGGGGTCTAGTGCTGCAAGCAGAGAGTAGTAATAACAATATTGTTGCAAATTGTGATACCCCCAAAACAACTGATTAAAAAAAAAGGTGACCTGGAGAGATGCTCAGTATACGGAGTACATAGCTTGCATGCTGGATTCCTAGGTTCATTTTGTGCCACCATATGGCCTCCTGAGCACTGTTGGGAGCAAGTCCCCCAGAAAGGGGAAGACTTAGGAATGATATCATACATGCATTTTGCTTTTTTTTTTTTGCTTTCTGGGGTTACTCCTGGCTCCGCACTCAGGAATTACTCCTGATAGTGCTTGGGGGACCATGTGGGATGCTGGGAATAGAACTTGGGTAAGCCGTGTGCAAGGCAAACACCCTACCCGCTGTGCTATCACTCCACCCCCTGCATTTTGCTTTTGCAAAACAAAATAAATAAATAATAAATATACCTTCAGCACCAGAATGCGGGGTCTGAGCCGCCGGAGTCCACTCAGGGGAAGTCCTGCCATGCCAGGAAGCAGCCCTCATTGCCAGTCTCTCTCCACAGGGTGTGCCCAGCGCAAAGCTCCTCTTGCTCTTGTGGCAGCCCTCAGTGCCCAGGGCGAGGTGCAGGATGCCTGGAGTGGGCATTATCTGCACGCTTCTTAGCACAGGGCAGGGACCGTTGGTTTCCTGAGTATAAGGCACATGCTTTGAATTTGGTTTTCTCTGGGGAGAGGGGTGGTGGTCTCTGGATCACCCACTCTTTTACTCTGTCCAATCACAGGGCAGAGCTTGCACTCTGGGGTTAGGGGAAGACAGCAGAACCACCTGTACCTCCATGGCACCATGTAGTCTATGAATAACTAGGGTGTCCTTGGCCCTTGGGCAGACACTCAACCCTCCCCTGATCTCTGTTCCTCTAATTTCAGGTTTTCACTGGCAGAAGAATTCCTGGTCAGCCTCATGGATACAGTGAAGTAACACCTCGAGCAGACCAGCAGCAACAGAGAGTGGGGCACAGAGGGTTGTGGAGGGGTGGAAAGAGGTGGGAATGTGGACAGGAGGACAGAGTGAGGGCTGGTCTGAGGAGGAATGTGGTCGTGCCACCCTGGGTTGTGTGGGATGCAGACGATCTGGCGAGAGGCCGAGAGAGACTGCGCCTCCTCCAGCCTGCAGTCTGGGCCAACGTGTGACAGCACCCAGGAGGAATGGGCAGTGGAAAGAAGATAAACGCGGCCACTTCTATTTGCATTGGGAAGAGACAACCCACAGGCGCTGCTGTGACCCACCCACGAGGCTCATGCACCTCCCGGCTCCCAGCTGCGCCCTCCTGAGAGTTAGGCTGGAAGAACACAGAGGAGCCAGAGCAGCAGAAGGAACAACCTCGCCTTGAGACACCCTGGTGTGCCAGCCCGTGTCTGACGCAGGCATGGGGGTGGAGACTGCACAGGACTGTGGCCTGCAGCCCCATGATTCTCATAACTGAGGACACACACAGGGTGCTTTGGGCTCCATTTGCTGAGCTGTACAGGTGCTACGTCTTTTTCATTTAGTCTTTCTGATACTTTTCCAGTTGATCCTCACAACATCTCTCCCGGGTAGATGTATTCTAAAACATTTCAATTTTTTCAGACAAGGAAATTGATGTTCAGAGAACTTAGGTGAGTTGGGCCAGAGAGCTAGTCAGGGGATAATGCATTTGCCTTGTGGCGGGTCCCGGCGCCACATGAGTATCATTGGGTATGACCCAAAACTTCAAAAAGGAAAAATGTGGTGAGTTGCCTGATGCTGGGGGCTTGCGTGGGACCCTACCTGAGCCATCTCTCTCTCCTTTGGGGTGTTGTGGTCTGCAAAAGAGGCATTGAGTGGCAAACATGTTCAGTCCATAGTCTACTTTCGACATGCATCTCCCCTCCTGGGAGGATCCTCCAAACACCCTTTATTTGGTGCTCCCTTTTCTAGCTCATCTGGATTTTAAAGTGAGTGCTTTTATTTAAAAATTTTATTTATCTATTTATTAGGGATCAAAGCATTTTATTTCAGGGGACAGGGTCTTCTAGGGAGGGCCAAAAGCCAAAGTCCTGGGTTGTTTGGGATCTCCGCAGCTGCACAGCACAGAAATCAATAAAAAAAATAATTTGGGGAGGGTTTGGGGTCACACCCAGTGATGCTCAGGGAATACTACTGGCTCTGCACTCAGGAATTATTCCTGGTGGTGCTTGGAAAACCGTATAGGATACTAGGGATTGAACTCAGGTGGATTGAACCTGTGCAAGGTATATGCCTTGTGTGTACATGTGCTATACTATTGCTCTAGCCCTGAAAGTGACTGCTTTTGCCCCCTAACCTCTGCTAGACTATGCTAGGGATCTAGGAATGAACTCTTCCGAGGAAACCGCCTGCAGACTGCTTCCTCCCACTTTCTTTTCTTTTCTTCTTTTTTTTATTTTCAACGTGATTTACAAAGTTATTGATGACTGCATTCTAGGCATATAATGTTTCAACAGCCATCCTCCCACCAGTGTCAACTTTCCCCCACCAGTATTCCCAGATGCCCTTTCTACACAAACACCCCTTCCGACCCCACCTGTCAACTTGATAGACATATTACAAAGTCTCAGCGTTTGCAGCTTACACCTCATGTTTTCAGTTTTGTGGAGTCTGTGTCTTGGATACATGGGTATACCATTTTATGAGGGTAGAAAGTAGAGGGTCAGACTGGATAGCAGCCACTCACAGCACATAGCTATCTACATTGAAATTCATTAACATTCAGTAAAATGTCAAACTCCATTCTGCCTTTGGATCTCATTTCGAAAACTCAGCATCAGAAACCTCTTTCTTGCCTGCAAAGTCTTGATAGCTCTGGGATGGACCAGAGACAGCACAGGAGCTGGTGAGATCTTTCTAGTGGCCTGGGTGAGGGGAGCAGGGAGACATCTGGGTAGGCCTGGGTGAGGAGGAGAGAGCAGCTGGCCCTTGACTCTCGGCCCTTCCCTCTGATACTGAGATACTGATACTCTATTCAGGACAATACCAAGGAGTAATTAATTGTCTGGAGTAGGGCCAGGGCCCAGCAGGCAGGGGCTGTGAAGCATGAAGGAGCCTCCCCATCTCTTTAGCCATCCTCAAGGTTCCGGCCATTCAGGGCTCCCTATCTGCCCGCTGGTCCCCCTTTAGCTTAGCCAACGCAGGCGTGAGCTGGCGGCTTCCTGTTCACTCATCCAGGCCAGGGAGACAGGTCATGGGCCGTGGGGTCACCACCTTCCCAATTAGCCTTATTAGCCTCTTGCTCACAAATCCGAGTCAGGCTCATCCATGGGGGGAGTGGCTGTGAATAGCCTGTGAGTAGCCCGGGCCCAGCCATGACAGGGGTCCCCGAATTCTCCCCCAGGTCGAGGCCCTGGCACCCGACTTGTCTCCTTCTGCCTCTGAAGGCCCCCCAGAAAGGAGAGGTCATGGCCTCAGGAATGCAGATTCCTGGTTTCAGAGAGGGGAAAGGCTGCTTTCTTGGTGGGGCACGTGACACGTGTGGCAGGCATGGCCCTGGGTCATGACAGTTGGAGGACAGAATAAAAATTGGGGAGTATCCAACATCTGGGGATGGGGAGGGTTGAATGGGGGACTTCAAGGAAAACGGTTGTTGGTGGGACCATCAGGGGAAGTTTCGCCGAGCAGGTATCTCGGGCAGGAGGGAAAGTTGAGTCTCCCTGTCTGTGGAGTGGGGGGGCGGGGGGGAGAGGATGTGGCGTCTCACAGGGCCACACGCAGAAGGAGAGTGAAGCCTGGGAGTGGGGCCTCCTCAGAGTGGGCAGCTGCCGGGCAGAGTGCCTGGTTCCAGGTTAGGCAACTAGACGGATGACCAGGGCTGGCCTGTCGGGCAGCAGGAATTGTCAGTGCCCGTGGCCAGGGGGACCCACAGCGCAGCCTCCCCTGCTGCTGAGTAGGCAGATGCCCCGGCTGATTACTTCAGCTCCTCCCAGCCACGCCAACTTCCCTCAGGCACCCACCCTCGCCTCTGCTTCCCTCCCCGCAGTGACTCCTGCCCAGAGAATGTCCATCGTGGCATAAAGGCCCTGGGTGTCCACGAGCTGCCGTCAGTCAGAGACTGCACAGTTCACCATGGGCTCCTCGCAAGCACGCCGCATGGGGCGTGTGGGAGGGCAAGGAATGATGGTGCTGCTGCTGGCCAGTCTGCTCCTGCCAGGTAGGGTCAGGGCCCTGGCAGCCGGAGTCGGGAGGGATGCAGAGAGCAGGTTGGGGAAGGCTAGGATCCCCAGCAGGGAGGGCCTTCATGGCCAGAGGGGTCAGGAGAGGCCCCGGATGGGGGAAGGCAGGGGCTTCTCATAGCCTTGTCACCTTGGGCAAGGTCATTGAACTTTCTGAGCCTCTTTCTGCAGCGCTAAAGGGGTCGGGGGTGGTTAGTGGTAACTACTAGCTCGGATCTTTCTTGCATATGATGAGTGCTTCAGTGGGTACTGTGGGTTTTTTTTTGTTTTTGTTTCTTTTCTTTTTCTTTCTTTTTTGCTTTTTGGGTCACACCTGGCAATGCACAGGGGTCACTCCTGGTTCTGCACTCAGGAATTACTCCTGGTGGTGCTTGGGGGACCATATGGGATGCTGGGAATCAAACTCGGGTAGGCTGCATGCAAGGCAAACCCCCTTCCCGCTGTGCTATCTCTCCAGCCCCAGTGCTGTGGGTTTTATTACTCATGTTATCAGCGCTAGATGATGAAGATGGGATATTTCATAGTCATGACGATCGCTACCTTTTCTAGAGCCCTTTCTGTGTGCTTGGCGCTGCTCCAGTGTTTTAAATACAGGAACATGTGAAAGAGTTGTCCCTCCTCTCCACAGGAGGCCGTGAGAGTCGGGGAGCTTACGGGACATGGACTGTGTGGTCTGGAGAGCAGAGAAGAGATAGGAAACTTGAAGATTAGAGCAGCTTTAAAGCTGTTAACACAGTTGGGGTTTTGCATTGAGGAGGACACTGAGAATTTCTTTTTTTTGTGGAGAAAATGGGGACATGCCCAATTGTGGAAGTTGGGTCAAAGGTGGAGTGTTCGAGGAGAATGGTGGCTAATGCTTTGTTTTCTTAAAGCACCTTGCACCTATTCTGGCCATGCCACTGGGGAGCCAGGGTTGAGGTGAGGAGCAGAGGAAGGATGGGGGTGCAGTGAGCACGAGCCTGGGCTTTAAGGAAGAAGTGGTTCCATAACTGAGAGGGAGGTAAAGGCAGGGGCACAGATGCGGTCTGGGGGCTGGCTCACACTGGCTGGGTGGGGAGAGAGTGAAGCTGATAGTGGTCACGAGCCTCGAGGGAGGATCATCCCATGTCCCTGGGCAGGGCCAGGAGAGCAGGGGTGGCTTGGGGCGCGGTGTCTGGTCACACTGGTACCAGCAAGTTCTGCAGCAACAGTGGGTGCCCCCACATCCGGGTCCCCACCCTGATTTCCTGGCATAGACAATACGAGGATGGGAACAGAATCTCCATCCTTTATCTGAGGCCGGACTCTCCCAGGGTCACTGATCTCCACTGGTCTCTGCCCTGGCCTCAGACCCTCTTTGTCTATAGAGTGCTTTTCTGTCTCTTTTATGGCTTTTCCTTCCCCCTCAAGCCTGTTTTGTCTTTTGCCTTCTCTCCTTCTCTCCCACAGCCTCGCCTGTATTTCTTCCCTCTGAAGGGTGTCTATCCCCAACCCTCATAACTCTGCTCAGCTCTGGCTCTCTGGGGCCTTTCTTGTACATCTAGCTGTCCTGCTGTTCCACGGTTCCCTCTTATCTTCCAAGAGCTTCTGCTCTGGAGTCTTATCCTTTTCTCTGGAAGATGTTTGTCCCCTCCTACCCTTATATACCCTAAATATGAAGCTGCCCTTATTTTGCCAACTCACTTTCCTTTAGAGATATAAGCCAGTTCCCTTTACCCTCCTGGGCTCCTCTCCAGAGAAATTCCATTGGCAGGGGATTGAGGTCAATCTAAAGTGAGGTGAGGGAGAGGAGCTGGAGTGATAGTATAGCGGGTAGGGCGTTTGCCTTGAATGCAGCAGATCTAGGTTCGATTCCCAGCATCCCTTATGGTCCGCTGAGCACCGCTAAGAGTAATTCCTGAGTGCATAGCCAGGAGTAACCCCTGTGCAATGCCGGGTATGACCCAAAAAGAAAAAAAAAAGGTGAGGGGAAAAAGAAAAGCTTCTTGTGTCTTACCAACCTCTGCTTTCTCCCACAGGTACCTTGGCTAAGAGCATCAGGACCTTCTCAGACCCCATGAAGAGCTCTGCTCGCATCACCTCCCCCAATGACCCCTTTCTCAATGGGGGTGCCAATAGCATCAGTAGCCACGGAGGCTCCAGCAGTTCCAGTTCCAGTGGTGGTGCTGGGGGTAGCTCTGGTGGTGCTGGTGGCTCCAGCGGCTCCAGCGGCTCCAGCAACTCCCAGGGCATTTTTTCAGGATCGTCCTCATTTAAACCGGGAACAGGGTATTCCCAGAGCAGCTTCTCTGGTTCTGGCTCTAGTCTTCAAGGTGCATCTGGTTCCTCCCAGTTCGGAAGCAGCAGCTCCCAGTATGGAAGCAGCCAATCTGGAAGCAGCGGCTCTCAGACGGGAAGCAGCGGCTCTCACTACGGAAGCAGCAGCTATCAGACCGGAAGCAGCGGCTCTCACTCCGGAAGCAGCAGCTCTCACTCCGGAAGCAGCAGCACTCACTCCTTAAGCAGCAGTTCTCACTCGGGAGGCAGCAGTTCTCAGTCAGGGTCTGGCTCAGCTCTACCAGTTGACGACAATTCTTCCCGCCATGTCATAAGCTCTTCTCAGTCTGGGGGAGGCTCGAGCTCTTCTGTTTCTCAAACTTGGAAGTCCAGCAGCAGTGGCCAAAACCAGAACCCCTGCAGTTCTGATGTCTCTGACTCTCCCTGCAGTGGGGGTAATATTGTCTCACACTCTAACTCCTACATCTCTAACTCCCACTCTGTGTCAGGGGGGAAAAGGCCAGTGGTGGTGGTGGTGGAGCAGCATGGCTCTGGTGGCCCTGGAGGGGTTCAGGGTGGTCCCTGCGGTAACGGTGTCCTTCAAGGCAAGCCCTGTCCCCCCATCACTTCCATAGACAATTATGGCAGCTATGAGGTGGTGGGTGGCTCCTCTGACAATTACCTGGTCCCAGGCATGACCTACAGTCGGGGGAAAATCTACCCTGTGGGCTACTTCACCAAAGACAACCCTGTCAAAGGCTCTCTGGGGGTCCCCTCCTTTGCAGCTGGCCCACCCGTCTCGGAAGGCAAATACTTTTCTAGCAATCCCATTATTCCCAGTAAAAGCTCTTCTGGTTCCAGTATCTATCAGTCAGGATCCTCCTCCGTTATCGTGTTCCAGCCAGTGGGTTCTGGTGGGGTCCAGCCTTGCAGAGGCAGTTCCACAGGTTCTAAGGGGCCCTGCAACTTCTCCGGCACTGGAAGCCATGGCAGTTCTAGTATTTCCATCAGTTCTGGTTCATCCTCCCATCCTTGTGGTGGGGTTTCCCAGGGACCCTGTTCCTCCCCAGGCACAGGCTCCTTTAGTGGCAGCTCTAGCTCCCAGTCCAGTGGTAAGATCATCCTTCAGCCCTGTGGCAGCAAGTCCGTCTCTTCTAGTCACCCCTGCAATTCTGTCTCCTCCTCCACCCTGAGTGGCGGCCCTGATGGCAATCCCCAACCCGATCCTTCAGCTGGTGCTAGGCCCTGTGGCTCTGGAAGTTCTGCAAAGAATCCCTGCCGCTCCATCCGAGATATCCTGGACCAAGTAAGGCCTCTGGGACCCCAGCTGGTTGACCCTGAGGTTTTCCTACCCAAGGGAGAGCGACCTGGCAGTTCATAGACCAGCTTTTGCATAATGTGTGTATAGGAATGCACACATGCACCCATAAGCACGCGTGTGTGCACACACACAGACACACACAAACATCGTCATCATCAACACCATCGTTGTCGTCATCATAGTCATTGTCATCTTCCAGTTGGGAGAATTTCAGAGGCCCAGGAATGGAGTTAATTCATTTCCCCCCCTCCTCCCATTCCTGAGAGAGCTGCTGTTGCTTCCCTCATTGTTCCAACGTGACCAGTTCTCCTGATCACCCTCTTTCTTCCGCTTCCCAAAGTGGGGACTGCAAGCCCCCTTCTCTCCTCCTCTCCAGCTACTTAGTTTCCCGTCGTCGATTGCAGTGTGGCTCTCCCTGCCAGGCGGCTACTCCCTAAAATTTTCTCTGCCATTTCCTTGAAATGTCAGAGTTGATTGGTGAAACTTACCACAGGATAAGTCGGATGCCCAAGCAAATCATGACTCTTCTGCTTTACCAAATAAAGTGCAGTCCGAACTGTTATCTGAAAAACAATAGCCATTTGTCTGACCTCTTCACCATCTGGTAGAGCAAGGTGATAAGCCATTGTGTTTTCTCACTCCCAGTTCCACACCCACCAGAATTACAGAACTCACCACACCCTCAGGGGTTCCCACCACACCCCCTAGCCTCACAAGCTCTCTGCCCCAGTCCCCCTTCCTGGCTGCCACTTCTCTCAATGCCCAGATGTGTCCCACAGCGTGGGAGACAGCAGGGCCTCTGGGGAGACTGGAGCAGGCTTCCTGTTCTCTCTGGATCCTGGGCAGGTGACTCAATAAACTGTGTAAACTAGATGCAGAAAGTTGTTTTCTTGGAGTTCTGAGTCTCCTCTTCGGTGATGTTCTCTCATGTCACATTCGCATTCATAAGTTGGGCCAGAAATTATCTCAACTTGCAGTTTCTCCCACAATGGAAGAAAAAAACACATATATTTGTTAGATTGAAGGCAGAGGTTACCTGGACACCTCTTCCTCCTCCTACTCTTTTCAGCTCTCGCTGCTCCTGGAAACCTGCTTTCTCCATCCCGTCCTCTCCTCCCCGCCTCCCCTCTTGTACACAGCCCTAATTATTTCTTTCCCTTCTCCACCCTGGGTCTTTCTCCTCCTCTACCATTACTTTGCCTGGCCTTTAGATGTCAATCTTCTCTGGAAGTCCGGAGCACCAGTTTCCTTAGTTTCTGGGAGACAAGGAAACTTGTGAAGGCTGGAACACAACACCCCAGTCCAGATTCCTGGATACTGAGTGGGAACCCAGGCAGGCGTTGTTCTGGGAGCTGGGGGTGGAAAGAGTGAAAGACAGTGGGGCAGGAGTAGGACAGGGAGCACAGCCAAGCCAGTGACTCACTGGCCTACATAAAAGGTCCCGGACCAGACAGAACAGAGTCAAGTATGTCTCTTCACTCCACACTCTGGCTACGTTGGCTGCGGTTCTAGAGTGAGAGCTGTCGAGGTGAGAGGGCTGAGCACTGACAAGAAGGAGGAGCCTTTAGGGGAGAAGAGAAAGCAGAGAGGGAGGGGATGGGTCTTGTAGCACATCCTGGACACAGGCAGGGGAGAGGCTGGAATGGGGAAGTTCTCATACTTCAAGGAGGGGAGAGTGGGGTGTGCAGGTCCTTGAAGGAATAAGAACAAACCTCTGCTTAACTGCAAAGGAATTTAGCCCTATGCTAGAAACTGTCCCTTCCCTCCCCCTGGGATTGCGTCAGCTTGTCCCTGACAGGACTATTGTTGAAATCAAGTCTTAAACAATAGACTGAACCAATTTTATATGACTCAGAAATGATCCACAGGTTGACTGAAGGCGGGAGAGCTCTGGAAGAGTTCTAGTGTTTTATTTTATTTAATTTTTTTCACTTGGGATGCCCCAGAAGTGGGCGGGCAAGAGCCCTTCCCGCCCCAAGGGACCCAGCCCTGGCAGCCGACCTCCACTACCTAACTGCCACCATGCTCCAGGCCGCTTTCTGGATAGTGCGGACACATCATAAGACACTTCCTACCCATTTTTCATAATTATCACACCATGTTTGATGGAATTCAGACAGTATGCAACGAATCATATATATATATATATATATATATATATATATATATATATATATCAGAGAGCCCGACAAGCTACCGAGAGTATTCTGCCTGCACAGGCAGAGCCTGGCAAGCTCCCTGTGACCTATTCAATATGCCAAAACCAGTAACGACAACAGGTCTCATTCCCCTGACCCTGAAAGAGCCTCCAATCGTTGGGAAAGACGAGCAAGGAGAGGCTGCTAAAATCTCAGGACTGGAACGAATAGAGACATTACTGGTGCCTGCTCGAGTAAATCGACAAACAACAGGATGATAGTGATAGTGACACAGAATTTTTTTTAATGGAATCACCATGAGATATACAGTTACAAAGCTGTTCATGATTGGGGTTCAGTCATACAATGTTCCAACACCCATCCCTTCACCAGTGCATATTTCCCACCACCATTGTTTCCAGTTTCCCTCTCACCACCCCGTCACCCCAGCTGCCTCTATAACAGACACTTTTCTTTCTTTCCTTCTCTCTCTCTCTCTCTCTCTCTTTCCTTTTGGGCATTATGGTTTGCAATACAGGTAATAAAAGATTATCATATATATCCCTTTATCTCCTCTTAGCACTGAGTTTTTGTCCAGAGTGATTACTTCCAACTACCATTGTCACAGTGGCCTCTTCTCTATTCTAACTGCACTAGAAGATCTCTGCTTTTGCAACCACAGTTGGGTCACCCTTGACCTGTCTTTGGTTCCTGGGTTGTCACCAATGGCAGGAATCCTGGCAGGAGGCCCTCAGAGGCTAAGGACAAAGTTTCTAAAGCATAGCCAAGGTAAAAAACATTTGCAAACTCGGTGGATGTCACACCCAATAGACTGCTACCTTCTAACCCAGTGGTCAGTTCTGGAGAGCAGCTCTTTATTAGTTCAGGATCTTACCAGCAGGGAAGAGGGTGCAGATGGAACAGGAAAAGTGAACAGCTATTATTTAGACTTCATACAACCAGGGAAACCTAGGCTGGGTACATCTGAACAAAATTGAAGAACAACATTTAGTTAGTTTTTCTTTAACTTGTTTTTCTGTGCCTGGGTCTGGGAATCAAAACTCGGTCCCTGTACCAATGAAGTGTGTGCGCATCCCTAACAAATAATTCGTTTTCTAGTTTTTTCACTCAATGTTTTTTAGTGAGTCTATCTAATTTTAATTTTTTTTTGGCTTTTTGGGTCACACCTGGGAATGCACAGGGGTTACTCCTGTCACTGCATGCAGGAATTACTAATGGCGGTGCTCAGGGGACCATATGGGATGTTGGGAATCGAATCCGGGTTGGCCACATGCAAGAAAAATGCCCTACTCACTGTGCTATTGCTCCAGTTCCTCTATTTTTTTTTATCAACTAGGCTATCAATTTTATTTATTTATTTATTTATTTTTCATTTTTTGGGTCACACCCGGCATTGCACAGGGGTTACTCCTGGCTCATGCACTCAGGAATTACTCCTGGCGGTGCTCAGGGGACCATATGGGATGCTGGGAATCAAACCCAGGTCGGCTGTGTGCAAGGCAAACACACTACCCGCTGTGCTATCGTTCCAGCCCTATCAATTTTATTTATCCATCCAAAGAACTAGTTCTTGGTTTCACTGACCATATATATATTATGTATGTATGTATGTATATATGTGTTTATTTATTTGTTTGCTTGTTTGGGAACTAAACTCAAACTCAATACATCAGGACCCTTCCTGAGCTATATTATGGATTCACTGCCAGGATCTCACCATTCTACAAGGAAGTGTTCATCCATGTCAAGAGAAGGTTTCAGCAGGATGATACCATTTCACCGAAACTCTTCAGTGTCACCCTTGAGAACGTCATGTGACGACTGAAATGGGAAGTAATGGGAGTGAAGATAGACTGTCGGCAACTACACCACCTTCACTTCACTGATGACATAGTTCTCATAACACTAAACATTAGCCAAGAGGAACAAATGCTGGCTGACTTCGACCATGAGTGTGGAAAGGTCGGATTACTGCTAAATCTCACCAAGACAATGTTTATGAGAAATGGTCTCATTCCTGACGTTCAATTCACTCTCAACAGAATGAACATCTTCGAATGCAACAAGTTATGTGTACCTAGGTTGAGAAGTCGACATGACGAATGACCTGGCACCTGAGTTGTGCAGGAGGAAGAGAACGGCTTGCAACGCCTTCAAGAGCATCAAACAAATAGCTAAGAACCTCTGACTCTGGGCACATCTCTTTGGTTCTACTGTTCTTCCTGCATTAACATACACCTCAGAGACCTGGGCCCTACAAAAACAGGATGAGAACGCTATTCAGTTCTCCCAAAGAGGAATCGAAAGAGCTATGCTTGGAGTATCACACTTCACTCAAGAGAGAAAAAGAATCCGGAGTTCCGACCTCCATTGATGATCAAGAATCAGGGATGCTGTCTCGTTTGCCAAGGCATCGACAAGATGGGCTGGTCACATAATGAGATTTAGAGACCACTGCTGTACTAGAGTCATTACCGACTGGATTCCACAGGGCGTCAAAAGATAGCATGGCCGTGCACCTATGAGATGGTAAGACTTCTTCGTCAAGACCCTGAATGATCGGTTTGAGGCTCTTTGTGTTCTAGAATGAGCAGACGCCATCGGGCTACACTACCACGAGACAGGGACTACAGGCACCCGCTCTAGCAAATCGATGAATAACAGGATGTGATCAAGTGATCAAGTTTGGGAACTAAGCGTGGAAGTGCTCAGGGGTTACTTTTGGCTAGGAGCTAAAGGGCTACTACTGGAAGTGCTTGGGAGCCAGGTAGTGCTTGATTCCACGGTTCCTGCATGTAAACCTCGTGCTTCAGCCCTTTGGGCTATCTTCCTTGCCACTATATCTTTTCTTTTTGATTTGGGGATCACACCTGGCTATTCTCAGAGCCTACTTTTGGCTCTCCTGGCTCTGCATTCAGGGCTCCCTCTTGGTAGTGTTTGAGGGACCATATGTGGTGCTGGAGACCGAATCTGAGTCAGTTGCATGCAAGGCAAACTGTACCTTCTGTGCTATCACTCCGGCCCTTCCACTGTACCATCTTTTATAAAAGGTTATTTCTCTTCCTCCCCTTCCCTTGCTTATTCCCTTCCCTTTCCTTCCCTTGTTGGTGCTGTGATGACTGGTCGTACACAGTTGGCAGCCATGCTCACCAGGTCATAAGTAGGTTGCAGTGTTTGCACACTTAGATCACAGTGTTTGCACACACTTAGTTGCAGTGCAATGGAGATCATACACCTGGGATCACAATTGGCCATACTTGGTGCATGTAGAGCAGTGTCGTGAATCAAACTTGTGGTCTCATGTCTGCAAAGGAAGTGAATAAACTGTGGACTGTACCTGCACCCCTATATCATCTTTTAAAATTTCTATATCAGTTATTTCCACTGTAATTTTAATTTTTGATTAAAATTTTTTAAAAGACACAGTGATTTACAAAAGCTATTCATAGTTGAGTGTTAGGCATATAGTTTTTCAGCAGCAGTCCCACCACCAGTGTTAACTTCCCTACACTGGTGTCCCCAGCTTCCTTCCCACCCTCCACCCCCACCAGCCTGACTTGTAGGCTGCGGTGTTCGCACACTTTAGCTGTAGTACTTGTGCACATTCTGGTTTCAGTGCTCCCTGGGGGTTACACTTTAGCCATGATGCTCACATAGGGGCTAACTGGGGCATCATACTCTAGCCATGATGTTTTTATATCTTGTTAGATGTCATGCTCTTCAGCCGGGTCCATCAGAAATTGCCTGCACCTCAGGGATCAGAGCCAGCAGAACTGCTAAGCACAAACAGTAGAACCTTCAGGATGGCACCCACTTCAATGTATGGTGGTGGCATTGAATTTGCCACCTCATACTTCAAGGAAGGCCCTTTACTCACTAAGTTTCTGGCTCCCACATTCTACTTTTTAATTTACCTAGACAGTTTTTTTAATTTTAATTTTTTATTTATTTATTTATTTTTGCTTTTTGGGTCACACCCCGCGATGCACAGGGGTGACTCCTGGCTCTGCACTCAGCAATTATCCCTGGCGGTGCTCAGGGGATGATATGGGATGCTGGGAATCAAACCCGGGTCGGCCGCGTGCAAGGCAAATGCTCTACCCACCGTGCTATCACTCCAGCCCCCAGACAGTCTCTCTCTCTTTTTTTCTAAATCTTTTTATTTACTTATTTTTGATTTTGGACCTCACACAACAATGCTCAGGAGTTACTGTGCTCAGGGCACTCTATGGGATGCCGGGAATCAAACCCAGGTTGGCCAGGTGCAAGGAAAATGTTTACCTGCTGCACAATCTGTCTGGCTTCCTAGCCGGTCTTTTTTGATTAGGAGTTTAGTCTGTTCACAGTTACAGTGATTATTACATGTAGGGCTTAATTGCAATCTCTCTACTTCTGAATTTTCTGATTGTTTTGCATTTCTGCTGTGTCGTTCCCCTGTATTTCTGTCTGCCTTTACATTAGTTTGTTTTCCATAGAGGATCTTTCAGTTATTTCATCTTTCATCAAAGTGCTTCTACTCTAAAATTGCCTACATCTTCCCCCCCCACTACTTCAACTTATTATCATTTGACTGCATATACTATATCTCCTCTCCTTTAATATTTTATTACTGTTATCTCACACTACTCTTGTATATACAGGTTCTGCATTACTAAACAATTATAATTGTAAAAAATGCTCAGTGCTTACTCCTGGTCCAGTGCTTAGAGAGCACTCCAAGCTGGGTTTGAGTGATGATATATGGTATTGGGGCAGAGTCTCCTGCCCCCATGCCTGGCTGTTCTCACCAGGGCCCCTTGGAGGGGGGCGGGTTGTGTTTCCCTCCCCGCCCTGAGCAGAGCCCCGGCAGCCGAAGACCTCCAGAACCAGCCACAGCCATGCTGAGACCACTCTCCACACATCTGGACAAGCCTCATGCATGAAGGAACCAGCAGAGGAACCCAGGCATGTGGGTCCCAGGGCTGAGATCTCCAAGCCTGCTTAGATCAGGACTGGGCCTTCTCCACCCAGAACCCCCATCTTCCAGTAGGTAGGCATTACACCCACCAGCTGCTGCCGGCGCCAGGTGGTCCCATCAACGGCCAAGACCCAGAGGCTATAAAACCTAGATCCCAGAAATGCGCAGCCGCATTCACAGCTGCACGACATCTCATTATCTCGTTTTTACTTTGGAGAACCCGGCAGGCTACTGAAAGTATCCTGCCCACACGGCAGAGTCTGGCAAACTTCCCGTGTCGTACTCAATATGCCAAATACCAGTAACAATGATAAGACTCATTCTCCTAGCCCTGAAAGAGCATTGAATATGGCTCCTTTAAAATCTCAGGGCTAGGAAGAAGGAGATATTACTGGTGCCTGCTACAGGCAATCGATGAACAACAGGATGATAGTGATCGTGATATGGTATTGGAAATCAAACCTGAGTTAACTTCATGCAAAGCAAGAGCCCAATCCACTGTACTATTGCTTTGGTCCCTCCAAAAACATAAACATGTTCAAACATTTAAGAGCAAATAAAATAATAAATCTATGGTGCTCCTCTCACTCAGCCTTAATCATTATCAACTCATGGACATTTGGCATGAGCACTTAAGTGTTCTCCTTCACTGTAGACTGGAAACATCTGTGACTTCTCCCAGTACTTATAGTCTGTGTACATATTTGACTCTCAAATGGTGCCCACCACCGCCACTGCCACTAAAGATACCCACCTCCTAATCCCAAGAACCTGTAACTCTATAAGTTACATAGCGAAAGGAAATTAAAGCTGCAAATGGAACTAAGGTTGTTAGTCAGTTGACATTTAAGTAAAGAGATTATTCTGGATTATTTGGGTTGGTCCAGTGGAGCTGGCTTCAAGAGGGAGGAAGTGGAAGGTGGAGTGATGCAATGTGGGAAGATCCTGATTTTTCTGGTTTGCACCTGGTGATGAAGAGGTCATGAGCTGAGGAATATTGGTGTTACATCTGGAAAATGGAAAAAAATGGATTCTTCCCTGGAGTGTTCAGAAAGACTCTGCCAACATTTTGATGTTAATTCAGGGAGAACGTTGTCAGATTTCTAATCTTCAAATTTGTAAGAAAATAAATTTGTAAAAAAATAAATAGATGTTGTTGTAAGTCATTACATTTATGGTAATTTTTATCCCTTAAATATGGGCTCATTTAATACAGGCTAAATGTTAAAGAAAGAAAAAAGACCCTGAAAGCAGCCAGCAAAAATTTCACACATTATAAATGAGCACAGAGATGAGAGAAACTGCTAATTTCACAGAAGATAACAGAAATAAAAGCTTATCAGTAAAAAATAATCCAAAAAATAGGAAGATATCAAGTCATCTGGAGCGATAGCACAGCGGGTAGGACGTTTGCCTTGCACGCAGCCCACAAGGCCAACCCGAGTTTGATTCCTCCACCCCTCTTGGAGAGCCTGGCAAGCTACTGAGAGTATCTCGCTCGCACGGCAAAGCCTGGCAAGCTAACCGTGATGTATTCGATATGCCAAAAACAGTAACAACAAGTCTCACAATGGAGACGTTCCGGGCCCGCTCGAGCAAATCAATGAACAACGGGAGGACAGTGCAGTGCTACCAAATCATCATCACAATAACAAATGTACTGCCTGACCATATGCACTGGGAAAAATGAGAAAGTTTTTCTTCCTGGGTGGAGGAATGAACCCAGTTAGAAACCCAGATCTGGATAAGAATGACAAGCATGAAAAAGTGGCAAAATAATGACTGACTGTCAAAAACAGGATGATCCTAATTTTTGTAACTAATTTAAGAGAAAATTGACTAGCCTTTTGGAGATATTTAGAATAGCTTACCTAAAATCACATAACAAATAAGCAAAGTGTGTGTGTGTGCGTGTGTGTGCGTGCGTGTGAATGTGAGCTACCACTTTGCATGATTTTTCCTTTCTGTTACCATACTCTGTCATTAATCATTTTATAGCAATTAATAGCATTTATACAATTAAATTCTACATTGTGTTCATACAGTGATCACAAAAACTGTCAGAATAATCAATTTCACCTGAGAAATGAAAAAAAAATGAAAAAAAAGGAGATAAAGTCTATTTCCCCAAATAAAGCCTCTTACATAGAGCAGCCCCTCAACTAGGGGCCACTTCTGCATCTCAGAGACTCCTGCAGGCTGGGATCAAGACAAAGAAGTCGGGGCTGGAGCACAGCAGGTAGGGCATTTGCCTTGCTCACTGCCGACCCGGGTTGGATTCCCAGCCTCCCATATGGTCCCCAGCACAGCCAGGAGTAATGCTTGAGTGCATGAGCCAGGAGTAACCCCTATGCGACATAGGCTGTGACCCAAAAAGAAAAAAAAAGACAAAGGAGTCAAGTTAAATACCAGAAAGGTGTGCTGGGAGAGAGTGATGTGGAATCCAAAGAGAAAGAGCAGAGAACCAGTCAAGCATTTCTATTGCTGAGACACAATGTAGTGATTGGAACCCAAAGAGAAGGGAAGAGAAGGGCCCTAAAGTGCTCGGTGTAGGGGACTAGAGAAGGGTAGGGCTGACACTCAGTGATGACCTGTGAGCCAGGACACCTGGGCTAGGAAGGGGCGGGAGCGTGAGAAAAGGAGCTGGGGTGGGAACACCCAGTCTCCCTGGAACATTCAAGTGGCACCTGTTGCCACAGACTGAATTAGAAATGAGGGTGGAATGTGGGGATTATTGTCTCCACAACCACTGGCCCATCCCAATTCTGTGGTCCCCCACCCCTAATGGCATAAAGGGCAGGCTGCCCTGGGGATCGGGGAGATGATAGAGCGAGCAAGATGCAGGGCTGTGTGGTGAGGAGCTGGGCTCCTCTGGGCCTGCTCCTGGTCTGTCTTCATCTCCCAGGTATGGAGACTGCTAATCCCTGGGCAAGAGGGGACTATCAGGGGATCTGGAATTAAGGGAGGAGGTCAAGGCCAGAGATGCACATTGGGTCTTCTGAGGAAATGAGAGTTGAGATAGGGGAAAGGAGGAATGTGGAGTGAAAAAAATCTGGGCATCAGGAAAGGAAGGGCACGGGGACCAAATGTCCAGTCCATTGACTGCCTCCTCTTCCTCTTCTTAGGCCTTTTTTCCCGGAGCATCAATGTGGTGGAGGAGAAAGCCCCCCAGCACCCAGGAACAGACTTGCCTCTGCCAGCACAACCTCCGTTGACCAGCCCCTCAAACTCTGAGCATCCTCAGCCCCAACCTGACCCCGTCCCTAAGGATCTCACAAGGGCTCCTCTGGCGTTCAGTGCTTCTCCATCAGATGGTCTCCAGCCTGCAGAAGGTCCTGAAGGTCAGGGGTGGCCCCTGCCTGAGGAGATGCCCTTTGTGGAATCCTGGTCCTCCGAAGATCCTTGGCAGATGATGATGGCTGCGGATGAGGACTATGCAGAGGAAGCCCTGCCCGAGGAGCTGTCTTTTCTTTCTGGTGCCACAGGCAGCGGACCTGCAGGGTCCTCTGACACTGCCAGTCTCCCCCTGGATTCTGACTCTAAGCACCCATCCCGTTCCAACGTGCCTGGAGCTTTGGAACCAACTCGTGCCCAGAGTCCTTTCTGGTCTTTCATCAATAAGATTCGACAGACACTCTTGTCTGGTCGCCCCTGTGGGATCCTGAATCCCAGGGTACCTGTGAGAGGTGGAGGCCCTGGAACTGGATGGGGAACCAGGCCCATGCCAAACCCTGTGGGAATCGGGGGCATCAACAATCAATACCCAGGTACTGCCTGGGGGAATATTAATAAGATTCCAGGTACCAGCTGGGGGAATATTAATAAGATTCCAGGTACCAGCTGGGGGAATATTAATAAGATTCCAGGTACCAGCTGGGGGAATATTAATAAGATTCCAGGTACCAGCTGGGGGAATATTAATAAGATTCCAGGTTCCAGCTGGGGGAATGTTAATGGGATTCCAGGTTCCATCTGGGGGAATATTAATAAGATTCCAGGTTCCAGCTGGGGAAATATTAATGGGATTCCAGGTACCATCTGGGGGAATATTAATCGGCTTCCAGGAGGCATCTGGGGAAATATTAATGGGATTCCAGGAGGTAACTGGGGAAATATTAATCGGTTTCCAGGAGGCATCTGGGGAAATATTAATCGTTTTCCAGGTACTAACTGGGGTCCTCTGCAGCCAGTTATTAACAAATTACCTCCTGGAGTTTTTCGCCCTCCCAGCTCTTCTTTGAACATTCCAGCTGGCTTGCCCCAGTCTAAAGGCCCTGCATCAGAGTAAGGTTAGAATGACAGCAGAGGCAATTCTAAGTTTGAAGTCAGAGAAGGGGTTCCTGTTCCCCATTTTCACAGGAGCTAATTCCAGATTCAATCTGCATATTTCCAGCCTCATCTCCACATTCACAGCCTTCCTTGCTCCTCCAATAAAACACAAGTGGTTATTGAATCCAGTCTTTCTCAGAGTCTGTTCCTGGGCATAAATTCAATCAAGTTGTCCACCCTCATTTTCTTACCATCCTCATGTCCCCGTACGGTGTTCTTGAGAGATACCCTCTTACTGTTCTCAGCTTTTGCAAAAACATCAAATATTGTGTAATTGAGGGGTGGGATGGAACCTCATGGTCTCCCATGGAGTCACCTGAAGTTGGTTCCTGGAATTTGAAAGAGGAGGAACAGGATTCTTTGAGATGATGCCTGTACAAGGCCTGAGGGATGAGAACAAGTTGGCATCAGGGTCAAGCGGTAAATGAATACCCTTTGATCCACAGAGAAACAGTCTGAGAAAGTCATTCATCAATGCGTGTTTGCAAACTGGAGAATGTGGTTTTTGGAAAGCAGAGGGTGCATTGATCTCTTCCCTTACATGCATCACTTGACACATTGTGCCCCAGACACACTTTAAACAGTTGCTGAATGGATAGAAGATCAGTAAAGGGAGAAAGGAATGGGGGAAGGCAAAGGGAGAGGAAGATCTGGGTACCAATAATCCTATCTTCGGCTGCATTTGATGCTTTTATTTGGCCACACTGTTGTCTCTCTTCCTTCCCTTTGGTTTTCCCAGCAGCTCTCTATATCCTCATATAGTAGTTCATTGGGGGAAGGGAGGGCTGTTTTAAGAAAGTACAAATAGAAGTTGTACTGCTGGAAGGGTTGAACCCCTCCTGTTTATTCCCCTATGTCCATGCACTTTCCCAAAGCCTATCAATCACTCCAGACCTGGAATAGGGCAGATAGTCATGGAGAAAGTAGGAAGAGGAGAGTGCTGAAGGGATGAAAAGTTACCAGCCTGGGTGCACAATAGTAATTTCAAGGAAAATCTTTCATTCCAGTGTCTACCATATTATTCTAGGTTGTGCCAGCATTTCTTCTGGAGAGCACCTTTCCATGATCTGCCACACTACTTCTTTATCAACTCAACCTCCTTTAAAAATAGTTATTAAAGCACCTTGATTTACAAAGTTATTCCTAGTTGGGTTTTATACATATAATATGATGGCACCTATCCCTCACCAGTGTCAACTTTCCTCCACCAATGTTTCCAAGTTCCCTTCTAAATTCTCTCCCCGCACCTCTAGCTTACATTCTTGACAGGCTCCTTTCTAAGTCAGTTGTTAAAGTCTGGGTCTCATGATTTCAGTGTTGTTGATTCTGTGGTTTGGATATTTGGCTCGATCATTCCTTAACAACACCAGTGTACCTGAATCCCTTCACCTGGACCTCATTGCTTCACATCTGTCTCTTTCCCACCACCCCCCCATTTCCCAACCCATCCCCAACACTCTTTACTTTTCCCTATACTCCGAGGCTGAGGTTGATCTAGACAGATCTCCCTTTAAAATATTACTTTCCTTCATCCAGTTATTCTAACTACCACATATAAGTGATATCATCCTGTTTTATTCATTTAGCTTCCTTCTTTAATTTCATTTTTTTTTTTTTGGTGAGAAGTGTGCACTTCGGTGCACAAGAGCTATTCTTGACTCTGTGCTTAGGAGGGATCCCTGGTGCTGCTTCGAGGATCATATATAGTACTGGGGATTCAAACTGATGATAGCAGGATGCAAAGCAAGTGACTTAACCCTTGTACATTCCACTGGCCTTTCTCTTTCCTAGCCCGGCCTCTCTTCACCATGTCTCTTTCACACAGCCCAGCTCCATCTCTCAGAATCAGGGAGGTCTCATTACTCTCTATCCCTCTTTCTGGTTAATAGTCTCTTATAATCCCATTTTGCACTGATAGGAGTAAATAAATAAATAAATTTTGTGTCCACACTAAGTTTCTTCTCTATGTTCATCATACCCCCACACCTCCCAGTATGCTCACGCTAGGTACTCGGCTATTTGCCCAGCACCATGGACAGCATCTGCACTGGACACTCAGTACCAGGGCTCTATCTCTAATTCCTGTTTTTTCTCTTCCACTTTATTCCTGCACCACAGGACTCCTCTTTAAGTCTCATGTATGCTGTTTTCATCTTTCCAGAACCTCGTGAAACATTTCTCAGCTCACAAAATGCTCTGTGTAGTTCACATTTTAAACCTCATCATTATCTGTAAGATGAAAAATAGGCTTTAAGGATTAAGCAATTTACTCTAGGTTATAGCTAACAAGTGTCAGGTTCAACAATCAAGCAGGAGTTGAGTGACTCTTCTCATTGTCTTCCCAGGGAGTGTTCAAATACGACAGATAATAACAGAAACTCTTGGGCTGGGTGATAATACAGTGGGTAGGCTGACCCAAGTTTGATCCTGGCACCACGAAGAGTCCCATGAGCATGACCAGGAGTGATCTGCAGAGTTAGGAGTAAACCTTGAACACTAGGTGTGCCTCCAAAACCAAAACAAGAATAACATGAAAACAAAACCAAAAAACCTTCCCACTTAGCTCTTATTGAGTTACTAATATGTGCTAGACTCTGGACCAGGTGGTTTCTCATGCCCCTTTAAGGGAAATCTCCACAACATTGACACCGGGTAGGCACCACAAGCCATTGTACAGGTGAAAACACTGAGACCCAGAAAGAGAAATGAGGTTTGCCCAAAGGTAACATTGAACTGGGGAAGTGCAGTTTGTCCAGTAGTTGGTGTTGGTGCAGTTCTTCTCAGGATGGGATATGCCTTGTTGCTAACTAGAAAACAGGTTAGCAATATTGGACATAAAAGGTCCTTTGGTGTGTGGTGGGACTTGCTGCTGGAGCACTAATCGGTACATGTTTATTAGTGACGACCTGGTACAAGGAATGAATGGAGCAGCAGGAGTCATCTGTTATATTCCATGAGAGTAGGTGCTATAGGAGCATTTGTCTAAAAATGGAAAATGTTTTATCTATAGAACTGAGCTTACATGGGGTGGAAGGGTGGGAAGGGTTCTTGGGACACTGGTGGAGAAGAGGAATAGGCTCATTGGTGGCGGGTGTGGTTTTGAAAAGCTGTATCCATGAAAAATGATTAATAGTGTTGCACATCCAGTACTTCAATAGTCTAAAATAAAAATAAAAATAGAGTGGAAGGTTCCTTTATGTCAGTCCATGCCATTTCGTTGCCAAGTTAATTTGGACTAATCACTTATCCCTGAGGATCTGAGTTTCTCTTTGTAAAGTGAGATAGAGCAGGAGTCCATTCTATCTCACAGGGTTATGAAGAAGTTTAATTAGGTCCATAATATAGAAGTTATAATAAAAAAAAACTCTGACCACTATAAGGGATTAATTAAAATGCAGTGTATGATCCCAGTGAGGCAGTTCCCATGAGGTGCTTCTTACCCCACAGTGGGAGGTTGGTCTGGTGAATGGCCAGAACTGACTTGGGGGTTGATGCTGAGAGTTGATATCATGTGTTCCTGTGAGAATTTCACCCAAGAGAATGACAAAGATCAAGAAGAGTTTGCTCCTTAAGAGGATACTTCATTCCTTAAACAAATTGAGCTCACTCAGTCAGATACTTCCCCCTCACACTCTAAGAATAGTTTCCGGGTCAGGAAGAGACCTCAAAGGGCCGGAGTGCCTGCTTTGTGTGTGGAAATGCAGAGCTTGACCCCCAGTTCAGCATGGCTCTCTCTCTCTCTTTTTTTGTTTTTTGTTTTTTGCTTTTTGGGTCACACCCAGCAATGCTCAGGGGTTACTTCTGGCTTTGCACTCAGGAATAACTCCTGGCAGTGCCTGGGGGTCCATATGGGATGCAGGGGATTGAACCCGGGTCAGCCGTGTGCAAGGCAAACTCTCCACCGGCTGTGCTATCTCTCTGGCCTCAAGCATGGCTCTCTAAGCTCAACTTGTCCAAGTATAAGTTTCCAAATGGAAAGTAGCTGAACTCCATCTCTGCTGGACAGTGTGCTCTTGGACATGACCATTCGTCTGACTTAGTGACCAGAGTTCATCTTAGAAATGAAGCAAAGCTATTATTCTCAGCCCAGACCCCTAAACCTACTGGATATCCTCCAACAAGTTTCTTTCCAATATTTTCCACGTGTCCTGAAGTTATAAAACCATATAGTTTTTTTCCCATGACCAAACTAGGCAAAGGATATGAATACACATTATTTATTTATTTGTTTCAATTGAATCACCATGAGATACAGTTGCAAAAGCTTTCATGTTTGAGTTTTGGTCATACAATGATCAAATACCTATTCCTCCACCAGGGCATATCTTCCATCACCAAAATCCCCAATGTCACCCCCTCCCCCCATTCCAACCCTTATCCTGTCTGTGTGGCAGACAATTTACACAATGCTCTCTCTCTACTTTTATTACATTCAATATTTCAACGTTGGTCAAACCATTGTTATTTGGAATTTCCCCACCATTACTCAAACTTGCCAAAAAGGCAATGCTAGACAATTTGTTTTGTATTGCTTGACATCACAGCGGGTAGGGAGTTTGCCTTGCAAGCGGCCAACATGGCCGATCCGAGTTCAATTCCTCTGCCCCTCTCGGAGAGCCCGGCAAGCTACTGAGAGTATCTCGCCCGCACGGCAAAGCCTGGCAAGCTACCCGTGACATATTCGGTATGCCAAAAACAATAACAACAAGTCTCACAATGGAAACGTTACTGGGCCCGCTCGAGCGAATTGATGAACAACGGGAGGACAGTGACAGTGACAGTTATGAATAGCATATGATGTCTCATGGCTGCATGCTTCTGGAATTCTAAAATTTTAATAGTTAGGGTCTGGAGAGATCTCTGCAGCGAGCTGCTCGGTTCTGAGATTCATTTGTGTGTCTCTGGATTGTGGCCATTTAGGAGCTTAGTAAGTAGCTGGCGCAGTTCGTGGGCATTATCTCAAACTCCCACTGGGGCAGGGGAAAGGAGAGGGTCCAGCTCCTCCCCTGTACCATGAGGCCTGGCGATTGCTGCTACTGCTCTCACATACCTGGGCTTTTTGTTGAGTTCTGGAAGATGGCAGCCCCTAGGAT